TATATATATATATATATATATATATATATATATGTGTGTGTGTGTGTGTGTATTAGATCTCCAACTTTCAAGGCTCAAACAATATCTAGCTTTCTGATTGGCATTAGGAGACCTGCACTGTTTTGTTGCTACTAATGTTAGTCTAGACTATATATAAATAATAATAATAATTACATAGGCCTGCAAATTTAAACTTCATAAAAGTTGTTTTGGTTTTAATAACAGATTTTCCATAATTCATCTATGCAGGTTTTGAAAATAATAATTTTTTTTCTATCATGTAAAGATTTTTTACAAATCGGGAATATTTAAAAAAACAACTTACTTATATCAAATTATTATTTCGTTTACCATAATGAACATTTTATTATTATGTTTGTTAACAAAAATACAAACTGAAGAAAAAGGCAGAACATTGTTGTCAAATAAATATGTATCCTCATTCATCCTGATTTATTTTGTGAAATCTACGTCTTTTAGTCTCAAAACTATGTGTTGTGGTCTTTCTTTTATGTATTGTGTCTGGAGCATCTCGTTTCAATGACCAGCAGTAATCAGCCATCATGCTGATGTTCCACCTTCCCTGATACCTCCTCTGTATTTCCCTGATGTAGTGATGAAACCATTTCCCTTATTCTTCGCTGACGGAACTGAGGTTTCAGGGAAATAGTCAATATGTGAGTGTAAGAAATGAACTTTCAAGCTCATATTACAACCCAGCTCTTTGAATTTATAGAGCATGTTATTGACAATATTTTCATAATTTGGGTCCTTATTGTTTCCTAAAAACTTGTTAATAACATCTTTAAAGGCAATGCACACTTCTTTTTCAACTTTCCTCATTGTCCTTTTGAACTGTTCATCCGTAGTCAATATCCTAATCTGAGGCCCAACAAAAATCCTCTTTAAGTTTCGCTTCTGAAAGAGCTGGGAATTGCCCACAAAGATTCTTAAGAGATTTTGGGGTCTAAAATTTGAGCCAGGAACTTGCTTTCTCCAGAAATATCATTTTAATGGTACAGAAATCGTGAGAAAGAGTTTATACCATACTTTTCACAAGACTGTTTACTGGTTTATTGCAACAATATTGTTGGATTATTATTAACCAAGTGAGTGATGATTGTTCACCAATTCCAAGTCTAAAAGGTGTTCTCCTTCACCATGGTAACATATATACATCCGTTCCTATTGCTCAATCGATTCTCTTGAAGGAAACGTACAAAAATTACAAACTTCTTCTTAATAAGGTCAAATACAAAGAACATGGTTGGCTACTTTGTTGAGACTTAAAAGTCCTTTGTATGTTGTTGGGTCAACAATCCGGTTATACAAAGTTCCACGTTTTTTTTGTGTGAATGGGACAGTAGAGCAAGAAATCAGCACTGGATAAAGAAGCAATGGCCACGCAGCCTGATACCAGGATCGAGAAACACTGAATGTGAAAGTTTGGTTGACACAAAGAAAGTCCTATTACCTCCACTTCACATACAACTGGGCTTGATGAAGCAGTTTGTAAAGGCCTTAGACAAAGATGGCGACTGTTTCAAGTATCTAATGGAAGGTCCAAATCTCTCACCAAATCATTAAGTTCACCCTGTGTGAAAAGTTGTGGTTCACCAGACATTTCAGGTTGAAAATAATCCCTATCATCATTTCTTTTGACATCAGATTCAGAATCAGATGAAACTATATCAAGAGTTCCTAGTGGAGTAGGTACAGGTTCATCAGCAATAGGTCTTATAGCAGATTGAAGGTTCGGATAAGAAATTCCCTTTTTATTTTGAGTTTTGTAGCCTTGCACGTTACATGAGCAAAAATAGCATTCACATCCATGTTTTCTAGACTCATTCCAGATCATTGGAATTCCAAAAGGCAAACACTTTTTCTTACCTTTAGTCCATTGTCTCAACTCTTCGATACAAACTGTACAAATTTTGTGCAGATCCCATGATTTATCTTGGTCTCCAAGTTTTATTCCAGAATATGCATAATACGCTTTTTTTGACGAATTCTGTAATGTTTTGCCTTTGTTTCTTTACAACAAATTTACCACAAACATAACCAAATATGTTTGGGTCATTTACACATCCTCTTGTTGCCATAGCAATGAATAAATAATATTGAAAAAAAAATTTCCAAGTGCATGCTCAAAAAAATACTATCCAGAAATGACACACCATGCAGCCTTTTAACAGTTTATCTACTAGTGGTGTGTTTCTCATGGGTTGTAGAATGGTCAACTCACATTGCAATTCATCTAGAGAAATCTATTGCCAGTGGTTGTCAGCATTTTAAGGAAAGCAAAATGTGACCCAATTAAAATGAAAATGATTCACTTATGTAAAAGTACATATGACGTTTTGTGAAAAATCTGTACGTTATGGAGAAAAATAATATTTTTCAAATTGAGCATACAAGAATTACTGTGTATCGTGTAAAAAGTTCAAGACAATAAAATCATTGCAGGCCTGTGTTATATATATACACCTGTGTGTGTGTGTGTGTGTATGCCTGTAGAGATTTTGCTAATATAAATGCTGTTTCAATCTCTCAGAGTTCAGTAATTAGCATTAATTGAGGTAGGCTATTTATCATGGCACTAGCCTTAAATTGCATTAACTTTCTCTATATTTCTAGTGTGGATTTGAATCCTAGTTCAGAAAATGGTTTGCATAGCAACTTAGTAGAAGTCAGCCAAATGACCTAACAGTTAATAAGGTAATATAAATAAAAGAAACCTAGCATTCATAGTGAGTGGAAATGACAGTGTTGTTTTTAAATAGTTTGAGATGATCATTACGATATTTACAAGTTCATTGTTAACCCTTTCACAGCTGGAGCCCCTTTAAATGATTTTCTGTGCAAATCACTATGTTACATTCAAAATTGATAAACACCTTTATTATCAGTGTATGCAAATAAAATTAATATTATGTGTACGTTATGATTCAAAGTTTTATTTTATCCAAGTTTTAAGTTCTTTATTTCAAAATAAACCTTTAAAAACTACTTAAAACTTCAGATGTATTGTCACGTGACCAATGAGCTATGAAAATTCTCTACTTTGGCTCTCTGTATCTCCAATAATACCCAAGGGAGTTGAGTAGAGGTACATCTAGACAATAAGATGCTTACATAACCTTTCAATTTTTTCATTTCAAAGTTCTCTGGATGAATGCAGCTGCCATGCCCACTTCAACAAATTTGAGCTTTATAGCCTACA